AAATTTTTTGGGGCACATAGTTTTGACATGTGCCTTGAAACATACAGAACAAACGCTTAACAACCTACAAACACTAAAACCACATGGACCTGCATTTAAATTATTGCAGATTTGAGATTTCGGAAAGCAAATACTCCTACCAAGTTTGTCCTTCAATTCTTTTTGTGCGGCTAGAGTTGTGTTAGCAGTATGCTGAAGGCTAGTGGTAGGTGTGTTAGTATCAGTAGGGCATAGGTTGGTTGCATGTGACACAGAAGCACAAATTGCACATGATGGTATTCTAAGGCCTGAAAAATGCTTGCAGAAGAGCTCTGTGTCTGATTCCAATCTGTTCTCATGTTGAACTGTGCCAAGGCTGAAACAAATTGATGGTAGAAAGGTGAGGCTATACTAGGTTCCAAGCTGCCTGAGAGCCTCAAAGGAATCCATGTTTAAAATGTAATGAGGCAAAAATGTGATTCTTTGCTGAACTAATTTGCATATGCCCACCCAGAATCCTTTGTGGTAGTAACATCACTGCAAATTTTTTATTTCTGTGGGAAAAGCAAGTATTATGGCTTGACTGGTGCGCAGATCTTGTTTAACATTGAATTAACATTGCATTGACTATACTGGACTAATACGGCTAATCCAATCTATATCTATATCTGACTTGCTTTAGTATTCACCCTGACTCATCTACTATTTTTGGTTCCTAGTTAGATTTACATTGTGCATAGCTCTCTACAATATCCAGACAATATGAACATTTTTAAGAAGTCATTTTGTTCTGTTTCGAATGAGGATATTTTATATTTATTTCTGTTAATCAAGCCCCAGACACCACTGGAGTGTCATCTTGGTGACTATATTTAAGTTGAGAGGTTCTGCAGCTGCAGACTATCCCAGACTTTAATATATCTCTTCATTTATGCATGCATGTATGTATATAAATTGATCCAATAAAGGTGAAGTGAGAATATTGAAAAAGTACTATATAAAACATTAAGATTTGTGTTTATATTTCGGTAGTGTGTGAGAAATCCTGAATCTACATTAAGTTCTTCATTTCTGGTGTTGAAATGTGTGATCATTTTCATCTCAAATGTCTTTTGCTCATGAGAGTCTTTGAAATTCCCTTTTAAGAACTTTAATCCTGAGGTTTTGGATGGAGTGACCAGTCTGGGTGAAGTAATGACCAACATATACACACACAAGAAATAAACCTAATGTAAGCAAATAAAATGTCACGAATTACAAATGTATAAGAAATTTTTCCAAATTAAACAGATTTGGATTCAAAATTAAATGTAGTAGCATGATTAATTTGTAATGCGTTCATTTATGCAAATTACCCAAACCATGCTGTTTATTAAGAAAAAACATGTGTACAAAACTCATCCATTACCATGGATGATGATAATAAAAGGACAATTAATTAATTCACATAGTGGTATTTGCTTTTTAATTAGAAGATGAGTGAGACAATTTGGAATTGTATTCGGTTTATGTCAGAATTGCAACGTGCACTCCTCTCCACTTGAAGTAGACTTCTAAAACGGCTGCCATCAAGTGGAATAAGATTATTTGTATTACCAAGGATTTTAGACAATCATCTATATGTGCTTATATCATAAAGAAACAGGATAACTGGGTAACGGGTATAACACTATTACTATTACTATTACTATTGCTGCTGCAACCTGATATGCAAGCCTTAATTAATGCAGCAGTAATAGACAGACAGATTGATTTGTGTATATAATAATGGGTAATGGTTTCACATAAACAAAAACAAAAACATAATTAAACATATTGCACTTTACAATTCACTGCATAATAGCCATTAAAGAGCTAAATATTTATAGAATATTAGTTTAGAGGGTCTTAGGATTAGTCCCATAGAAAAAGGCATCATTTTAAAAAAGGCATCAATATTTTATATATATACTTTAATTGTTTAGTCATGGCCAAATTCTCTTATCCATATTTAGAATATATCAGGACAGTATTTGCTCTGTTGCACAGTACAATGCATATTTAGGCTCAGCAGTACAGCATCAGTCTAAATGAGAAATGTCATCTGTCATATTTTCTAGATAAGGGTAAATACATTGTTTCATTCCCTTTGGTTCTTTAAAGAACAAGTATTCTCACCTCACGCACTCTTAAGAGACCACCAACAATCCCACACAAGTGGTGAGTTCTTATTTTAGGTTAATAGTCAAAGTATTGACTGGGGAGGCCGGAATCCTTTATATATCATATTAGTATTCACTGCACATCAGGAACTGAAATTCTTGTGAAGATAGAATTAATGACTTTTGATTTTAGTTTTATTTATTTTTTTACTTCAGATTTCCATTAGTTTTGGAAGATAAAACTGTTATGTATATAAAATATTGGAAATAATACTGTATTTGACACATCAAAGTGCTTGTATTGTAAATTGTTTGACAGATTACCCATGGACAGCGCTGGGGGCGCCTGGCACCACAACCACTACAACAAAATGTAGTGCTTTCTAACTTAATTGCCATGGAATTTAGACAATCAATTTATTTTCCCCTTTTTTGCTAAACATGTTTCCAGATTTTTATAGCATTACATGACAGTCCACTTTCAAAGTTCAGGATTTGAGAATTAGGTTTCAAAGGTTAGGGACATTTTTATTAAAACTAGGGCCAGTGGTTTTAGAGTTAGGAGAACTAAAGTGTCACGGCTCCCGGTGATTCTGTCGGCGTGGTTGCACATAAAGTAAGCAACCACACCTGTTAGGAGTGCCAACCGCTGAGGTTTGGATTTTTGTAATAAACTTACCTTCACCCACACCAAAGATGGCGCCAACATGTGTGCGAAGTCACATCGTAGAGGCGCACGCACGTTTTGGGGTCAGAGGTCGGAGGCAACCAATTACAGCCAATGGAGGGGTATTTAAACCCAAATTACATTTCTGTCAATGCCCTGACGTGGTTTCCCTTTGCTGGATATCCGAGATTGTGTTCCTGATCGTATTATTCTGGTTTTTTACTTTGGCTTCATTTTGACTTCCCTGAATTCAGGTATCCTTGACTTTTTCCTTTCCCTCATCGTTGTGTCTGATTCTGTGTTCCTGACCTCGGCAAGTATTTTGACTATTCTTGGGTAGGTTAAGTCACGCCATTCTAAGGTCCGGTTAGACGTTATCCTTAGTCTTAGGTGTGATAATATTTCTGCGTGCTGGATCAACTAGTAATCCTGACATAAAGTTAGTGAATTTATCCTATTCATTCATTCATAAATCAGCCTCCTTTATTGAATGAGAGGAAGGAATGATATCCCGTATAGTATATCAGAGTCTTCTGAGCCTAGGCTGTAATGCATTTAAAGCCCCTCCCAACATATTGACTGCATATTACTGTGCAATTTATAATTATTAATATACAAAGAGGTTAGTGTGCATAGAAAGATAAAAGATAATATTGCTTTGGGACTGAACGTACCTGAAGATAAGGAAACGGCTAGGATGAGATTATTTTCTTCTATAAAACACATATAAGCTTCTAAAATAAATACAATAGAAATCTATGGGGAAATAAACATATTTAATAGGCATGTTTAATAAGCAAATTTTGCAAAACATGAAATATGTTATTTAAAATAAACACAACCTATCTATTTTCCACTTTTTGCTAAACATATTTTGAAAATATTTTTTTAGGCTCAATTTTACATTTTACAAGCATATTTTATTTGATGAGGTGCCACCTGCTTTTCAATGCACAGATGAAGTCCTGCACATATTAAGCCACATATACCATGTCACTGAGCTTCTATCTAAATTGCCTGCTTTTTAAATTCTGCTATGTTCTTCACAAAACCTCCATTCCAAGATCTGAAATATTGGACTGTTTAAAAAAAAAAATATGTTAATGTAAGTGATTTCTTCTTTGGTGTTGATGCGTGCATGACTTTGTCTTCTTCACTTGAAAGGTTTATCGATGTTCTGGCTGACTTGATGTCCAGTAGATAATCTTAAGTCCAATGTGCCTTTCCAGTTCAGAAACCTTTACCAACTCTTTAAGGATGCACTCGATTTGTTTAATGGACCACATACAATCAGCTACATTGTGGGTTTTAACACCTACAGAAGCATTGAAATATGGTCGAACTGTAAGTCCCTGTCAGATAATATTTTACAGCTGGTACAAATGCCTCCCATAGGGAGTTGTTATTTCTGTGATAGTGTCCATTCATCTTTGAGGACACCTAACCTTTCAGATGAAATCTATCACGTACAAATTATTTACTGCCTATGAGTTCTCACTGTATCTTTCCAAGCTAATCAAAGTGTGGTCTAATAATTTATATATTCATGCGGTAGTGCCATTTAGAACAGCTGGGTAATATTTGCTTATCCAGATGATATTAAGCTTAGTGGAACATGGGCTGCTGTGAATACTGCTAACAGTGGATTGTCAAGCATTAAAGAATATATATCAAACAAAACTGCAAGACAAATACATATTTAGAGTATAGATATTCAAAAGCAGTCAGACTTCTAGTGCGCTGTGCATGAAATGAATAAAAACAACTCTGGACTTATTTCATGTTTGTCTATAAAAAGCTGCCTTAAGCATTGTTTATACCAACATCCAGTCGATGCTCGCAGCTACAAAATATCAACAGGTTTGCATGCTCCACATATGCCTTTAATGTCTACGTAGACATTCATAACACGCATCGGTTGTCATCAGTGGCAATGGAGTCTGCGTCTCTTAGGCATGCTGCGCAGGTCATACTGATGAGTTTGCAGAGATATTTGATGTCAAATCTTGCAACTCCTACAGTCTCCACTCCAGCTGCCAAATCCACATATCTCATGCTCCACAAGAGTAGGACCATCTCGGGCATGTCAAAACACTGATTTTGTTGTGTGACATATGATTGACAATCATACCTCTTGATCACCCAACAGATTATTATTGGCATTTATATATAGCTAACATATTCCGCAATGCTTTACGATATTGTTAACGGGAATTTTACAATAAATGTGACAAATTATTATAAATGTTGACATTTTGAGGAGGTGAGGTATAAAACCATAATAGGAAGGGCAGTGTGGAGGATAGGAAGCCAGTGACAGGGTGACAAAGTAGCAGAAATTTAAATTGAGGGTGAAGGGGAGAATGGGCGCGCTAATTAAGTTGAAAGAGTAATGATGGTTACTGTGGGAGTCCATAGACTATTCTGAAAAGGTGGTTTTAGGAAGGAGTCTGATGTGGGGGGGCAGGCTAGTGAGGCAATGGCTCGCTGCAAATCTTGTTAGCTATGAGAGTGAGACCTGGGTAAATCTTATGAATGCTGCTACAGTGAGACACAGATAGGATGAGTCACTCTGTGTTTGGAGGACTGATTGTAGTGTACTTTGAATGCATGATCATCGGTGCTCACTCTACTCTTGGTGTGAAGTTTATTGGAATTTTCACCCAAACACGAGAGTCAGTGAAGGGCTCAGTGTGTGGGCAGGACTGACTGGTTACCCTACCAGAAAGGCTGTAATATTGATACTCAAGTGCACTGACATTTCATGACACATTTCTGAGCAGACACTAATTTTATCACAGACATGCCCATCCGTCTGTCCATGCCTGATGCTAAATGTTGCTAGCCATCCCCTGCTACCTAAAGACCTATCCCTAACACTAACCCAGGGGTTGCAAGTAGGTAGATCCCCAGATGTTTGTTTTAAAACTACAGCTTCCAAGATGCCTTGTCATTCTAAAAACATTCTAAAATCATGCAAAGGATCATGGGAGTTATAGTTCATGAAAGTATCTATTCATCACAAGAAATATCCATTCATTTTGTAAATAATATGTACCAAGATAGGAAAGGTTACAGAGTTTGTACTCCAGCAAGCAAGACATTTTTGCCACCAATATGCTGCTTTTGAAAACCTTTTCTTTCTTAAATAAGAATATAAATGAAGTAATATGGAAGTAATACTGGAAGTTGGTACTAACTCTTTAGAAGAGAAAGATTCATGTATCATACAACCGGCTTTGTTCTCAAATGAACACATTACTAACATCTGTGTGTAACTTGCTCGTACATGCAATGCAACCGGACTAAACTATAATTAATGTTAGCGTATAATTATCACGACCGTAATCCTTAATTATAGATTTCATATATAGGATTTTTGTGACATTTGACTTAATTCTTTTACTTAAGCATTTTAGTTTTACTTTATAGGCTTTTTCAGAATATGGAATATACAAAAAGTAAAAGGAGGAAGTAAGCAGAAGCAGATTGAGAGAAAATAAAACGATTTAGGGGAAAAAAACGTGGTGTCTTGATTTGGGTTATATTTTCAGTTTACATATAGAATTAAATGGCCATAAAATGTTAAGCTTACCTGCCAATACTAAGGCAAGGATCTTACATAGATTCCTACACTAAGAAATATGATTAAATGAGAGAATTACAAAATGTTACAGGAACAATAGGTAGATGAGAACCCTGATCAAACAAGCTGCAGTCTAGAGGAGTGGAGTATAAAGACACATTAGGAAGGGCATTGATGGGGACAGCAAACAAACAAGGTGGAAAAGTAGCAGAACTGGAGGTGAGACTGGAGAGAGCCAGAGACAGATTTGAGACAGAAGTAAACTGTGAGGCCATAAGCTTTCCATAAGAGATAGGTTTTGAGGGACTTCTTAAATGATTGAAGACTAGAGGAGAGTCTGATGGGGGTAGATAGACTGCTCCAAAGGAAAGGCGCCTGTGAAAAGTTCTGTAAGCGCAAGTTAGCATTGAGGGTGTGAGGAGCAGACAAAAGAAGGTCATCGGAAGAGCGGAGACATTGATAAGGGGAAACCTATGAACCAGTGAAGAAATGTAACTGGGGCTAGAGTTGTTTAGAGCTAAATAGGGAAAACTTTAATAACCATTGCTATGGTAACAAAACCACGTTGTTTTTTATGTATTTTGGTATTTGGGAGAGTGCGCAGGTATCTATTTTGCTTTTATTTTGATTAGACATTTGTTCTGGTGAATAGCAGCCATTGCTAATGTTCTCTAATGTTATTTATTTGTATGACAGTTTGTTCAAAGCAGCCACTCACCCCTAGCTATTTAGGGTAAATTAGTTTGTGCAGTAATATTCATTAAGCCACATTTAATTAAGCTACATTGCTTGACTTTTTTAGTTGCACTCTCTAGAAGGACCATTTAGAAGGCATTTTCTGATATCCCAGTATTCTTATTGCAGCACTGCACATTATGAAATACTACTTTTTTTTTTCTTTCTAAAAGGGAGGGAGACGTCCCCTTATCCCTTTGTTTGGAGTTTAGATTTTGTTTCTATTCTCCTTATACTGCTGGTCTGCTACAGATGTTTTTTTATTACCCTGAACTCACAAAGCTATAGCCTGTACGACCTTACTCTGTATTAATTATGCCTATATTTGGGTAGAACTACCAGATTTTCATATACAGTCATTAAAGCTCAGGATAATTGTTTTGTAAATATGTACATTATTATTTCTGTCTGAATTTTCTTTTCCTTTTCATTTTGTTGTGGTGACTTATTTCACCTCTTACTCGCTACATTAAAAGTTAAGTTTTATTTGAGAAATACCTAGCCTAATTGGTTGATAGTTGCCACTCCACCAGCGCGATACAGTTATTATTTCTCGCTCTCTCCTGGCAGTTCTCTCTTTTTTTTCTCACTTATTCCATAGTGACTAGTCTCACTACTGGCTACCCCCACTTCAGAAGGTTAATAATTACATTACCTTTCTTTTCTCTTTTATAAGTATAGACAGTTCCTATTTATACTTCTCTTCCTTTCCCTTCTTTTGGTCACTTCTTACTGTAAACAATATCATCCTTTAGTGGTTGTCCCCTAATCATCAATCATCTATTCGTTTCAAACCGAATGCATACTGAATGAAACCGAATGTCTAGTTTCTGGTTTGAGTCGATGTTGACATTTTGCCTAAGGTTATTATAATGAATAATTTGTTTTGAAGTGGTATTTAAGAGGATTTTAAAATGCTTTTGCTCCGTCTCCTCATGCCCTTGCATCTCCTGCTACTTCAGTTTTCTGTTAATCAGCTTCCATAGTTTGAGCTCGGAATCTTCATCTCCAGACTCAACTCATGAAACTGATAATCCAGTACTGCTCGACACTTGACACAAAGTGACAGACAGTGACATTTTGAAGCTCCTGTTATAAAAAAAAAAAAAACTGGCTCTGATCCAATAGCACATCATTTTACAAAGTGATAAATGCTTAATTCTAGAAAGTGGTTAATGAGACTCTTCTCACAGATGGCAGATTTGAGCTTCCCAAATGAATGTATTTAAAAGAAATATAATAATAAATACTTCAACATTTATTTCTGCAACACCTGCTGTGGTTGTGTGATCCTTTGGAAACATTTAGTTACAGACTAAAATGATAACATGAAAAGAAGCAATAGGGCAAGTGTAGCTCAACACGGCCAGTTCAACTTTTTCTGAGAAATAGTAAGTGGAATTTGTTTTTTATCCTCTACATAATGCAAATTTTATTTGCATCATAATGTGCTGTTTTTTAAAGGTAGTCTTTAAAAAGATTTTTCAAAAGAAGCCAAAAATTGCCAGGTGGAATTGTTCCTTTTACATGCCAAATATGAAAATTCTCCTTTGGATCTGCTGCCCCCTACTGGCTACTATGTTCAATCAATGTTACGCTTCTGCAAGAAAATGTTCCCTCTTTCAAAGCAAAATAAGTAATGTTTTATTGATAAGCTCAGAGGTTACGACAACAGCTATTATGAACATTGTTCCTGTAACTCTCCTCATCAACTGTGTCATTGCATCGTAAGTTATGTTGTTTAAAAAGTGCCCTCTATTGCAATATATGCCGTTCCTTCTGTGAATGTGAATGATTAAACGTCTGTGCTTGTCAATGGAACCTTCAAAGTGAATTTTAGGACATCAGAGTTTGTAAATTGCATTTATTCTGTTTATTTTTGCAGTGAATTTACCTGATTAATATTTAAAAAGCGCCACGTCCAATTTGATATCTGAATCGATGAGAACAAAGGTGAAGTTTGTATAGATTTTAAGCTAACCCTGTTTATTTGTTTGCTGCACAGCAATCTGGGACATCAAACGCTAACAATTTTAATCAAACAATAATTATGTGAAACAGTAAAGTCTATATACCCTCTGAGCCATTTTGTACATCATGCTGCTTAAAATCTTTTTAACCTACCTTTACTGAAAGGTCATTCTACCACATTCTTAGGGAAATCAATTTTAGCTGAATGGATGGAGTAGTGTGATGCTAATTATATTCCTTTCAACGAGGGCAAAATGACATAATATAATATGTATGCCAGCCTGTACAAAAAAAGGTATGAAAGTTAATGAGTGGACATTAACATAAAATATAACTTGAGTAATATATAAACTGTTATTTACATAAAGAGCTTTCTTTCATTTTTCAATTTTTATTTTCAAATAGAAAATTATTATGATTAGCGCTTATGTAACGCCAACGTATTCGGCAGTGCTTTACAATTATAGAATGGGGATATCGAACAACAATATATTGTAAAGCGCTACGGAATCTGTTGGCGCTATATAAATGGCAATAATAATAATAATTAACACACAAATTAACAGAGAAGAGATGAAGAACCTGCTCAAACCAGCTAACAATATATACATTTGTTCACTTGTTTACCCCATCATAAAATTTCATATAGCATTCTTGTCTTTTTCTTCTCCCCCGCCTCCCTGCCACCCCCCCCCCACCCCCCACCCCCAATACTCTTCCTTATAACTTCCTTGCCTTTGTTTTCTAACCCTATACCACAGGGGTGCCCAAAAGGTACATCCCCCACATGTTTTAAAACTACAGCTCCCATGATGCTTTGTTCTAAAGCATTCCAAAGGCATGCAAATCATTATCGGAGTTGTAGTTCTACAACACCTGGGGATCTACAATTTTGGGCACCCCTGCTATACCATGTTTCTATCATCCTAGTCTTTTTCTCCACATTCCTATACTATTCTTTTTGTCCTCCTCAACTTTCTCTAATCCTCACCCGCATCTATCCTATCTTTTTACTTTTTTTCCTTCTCAAACCCATACTATTCCTTTTATTCTCCTCATTTTGTCTCGATTGAAAACCCTCCTCTTTCCCTAGGCCTGGTAGTTGCTTTGTTTTTTTCCCCATTTTTATTTTCATAATTCTGTTTTATATGGCTTTTGCTTTGACCTTTCAATGTTTATGTTGCCTTTATTGTTTGCATAAAACCTTTCAATATAAACAGGTGCAATACCAAAAAATGGAAATGTGTAAATTCACTGACCTGAAGACTGTGTGGATAAAATGGAGAGGTATAGTTTCTTATGTTTTTATACATACAGGAATACTACACATTCTTTATATTAAATTATGATGCAGATTTATTTTCTTTATATTATACAATGAAATAAAACAAACCCTATATATTAAAGGGACACTGTAGGCACCCAGACCACTTCAGCTCATTGAAGTGTTCTGGGTGCAATGACCCTTTTGCACTTAGCCCTAGAGGGCTTCCTGATTTCAAAGCAGTATCTGACGTTGGACATCCTCACGCTCTGCATGAGGACATCCAGTGTCAGATTTTTCCCCAAGGGAAAGCATTGAGGAATAATGAGTGCTATATAGTATCCCTTTAAACAAATCTCTAGAAGGTTTGTTTTATAATGAGGAACGACTGTTTTTGAGCTCTCTTCATTAGATGGTTTAAAAAAAAACAGTTGTCTAAGGACATTAAAGGAACCCTCTGGACCCCTAAAATACTTTACTTGCTGACATGCTTTATGTGTAAAGAGTGTCCTCTTTTTTTCCTTTTTCCAAAAAGTGCAGATTACAATACAAATTATCACATTTATAATTTAACCTTGTTAAACCCCTTTGGCTTTCAGACATGTGGTTCTCATACTTTCTGGTTGTTTAGCTCAGTAAAGGCAAACTCAAGAGGCAGCAATTGCTCAGAGCAACCTGCCTTGCAAAGACTTCTCATTGAGCTGTACTGGGAAGTCTGTGATTGGACAGCCACAAAGTCTGGGATAGAGAAGAAGTGGAGGACTTGCAAAAGCTGCAGACAAGAGAATTGCAGTTTTTGCAAGTTATTTTTATATATACCCCCAATGAAATAATGAAAAATAAAATGCATTTTTTTTTCATTTGGGCTATATCTACTAAATACTGATTTGTATTTTTTTTTTTGTGTGGGCTGTATAGTGTCTCTTTAAGTGATGAGCACACATTTGCTATTTTGTAATGCTTTTATTAAGAGGAATATGTAAAATGGTGCATCAGTTTTAGTAGAGTAAATTGAAAGCAGCTATAATTGTGCCATTGTCTACATCAGTGGTTCCAAAACTTTTTAGGTTCAAGGCACCCTTTATATTTTAAGATTTTTCCAAGGCACCCCAAGTCAAATGTTCTAGGTTGTATACATGTGCTTGCCTTTTAAGCGTAGATCCAGAACCTAATCTTGGGAGGGGCACTGGTAGATTATTTAAAGAAACAATTCAGGCACAATAACCACTACATCACGTTGTAGTGGTTATGGTGCCAGTAGTGCCATAGTGCCCTCCCAGAGTAAGTAGTAAAACTGTCAAAGAACAGTTTAACAACTTACCTGGGATCTCCCGGGATATGTGGCTGTAGAAGGGGATAGGGGCAATACTGTGTTAGGGGTGCAGTGTACGTGTGTGTGGGGCAGCTTGTGTATGAGAGGTACAGTGTGTGTGTGTGTGACAGGTTATATGAGGTGTACAGTGTGTGTGGTGGGCAAGTTGTGTGGGGTAGTGTGTGAGGGATACAGTGTGTGTGTATGGGGGGAGTTATTGTGTAGTGTGGGGTCTGTGGGGATGGAAGAGCAAATTCATGAATATATAATTTTTGGGTTTTTTTTAAATAATTTTCATATTCCCCCTCCCTGCTTACCTTTGCCTGGGAGGGGGACATTCCCTGCAATCCCTGGTGGGGAAGCCCTGGTGGTCCCAATGGTGAGAGTAAACTCTAGCAGCCTCAGGATCTGTTAGAGTTCACCCTTGCGAGATTTGGAGTGTTGCCGTAGTAATGGCAGTAAT